GCTTTGGAAGCGTCGGAGATGGAAGGCAGCTGTATGGAGTCCCCAGCAACAAGCTGCAGAAACTGCTTAAGGGGACAGTGAATTATTTTAAGCCTGGTGGGCCCATGGCACTTCAGGCCATCAGAGCAGAGATGCCACATAGAGATGGACTCATGGTCGAGGGGTGGATATAGCAATGGACACTATTGCCCAGGTTATTCACGAGTGTGAACACTGCACACAGTCTCTCCTGCTCTGGAAGACTGTTACAAGAGATGGAGCCTGACATCATGGACCAGATGGACTCAGCAGCTTTATAGGGACTGGTCCATGCACTAAGATAAGAGTGCACTGAGATAAGAGTGATGGTATATTGAAAATGTGGGATCTGAGCATGACGTGAATGGTATGGAATAAGGGGTGGATAATGTCCTGGGTTCAGCAGTAGCAGTCATTTTTCCCCTTCTTGGGAGCTGGTGCAGTGCAATGTTTTGACTTTCAGCTCGGGAACGGAGCTGATAACAAGCGATGTTTTGGTTTGGCCAAGGACTTTGTGAGCCTCATGCTCTGCCAGGGAGAAGGGGAAGCCGGGAGGAAGCAGAGACAGGACACCTGACCCAAACTGACCAAAGAGGTATTCCATACCACAGCACGTCATGCCCAGGATGTAACTGTGAGTTAGCCGGAAGGGCTGGGAGTCTGCAGGGTTGGAGGAGGTATCGGTCAGAGCTTGGTCGGGCTGGGGGGGCAAGTTATCGGTCGGCTGGTGGTGAGATGATGTATTCTCTTCCCTTGTTATTTCCTTTATCATTATTATCATTGGTGGTAGCAGTAGTGATTTGTGTTATACCTTAGTTACTAAACTGTTCTTATCTCAACCTGTGGGAGTTGCATTCTTTTTGATTCTCCTCTCCGTCCCTCCGAGAGCAGGGGGAGGGCAAGAAAGGGGGGGAAGTGAGCGAACGAATTACCTGACTGGGTTTAAACCACGACATTATCTCATACACTTCATGTGATACCAGCTTCACAAGTGGGACACACACCCTCACACACAGAGGTGTCCTGAAGACACATGCAGTCAAGAGTAGTTTATGTGTACAAGCAAAGGACTGAAGTTTCCTTCTAACATGATCTTCTAACATGTCTGGGTGCTCTTGGCTCCCAGGGAAACCATCGTGCTGCTCTCTGAAGCTGCTGCCCCCACAGCTGGTGATCCACTGGGAAAGTCTTGTACCTTGCTCAGTATCACTGGACATGAACTTCAATTGAAGCTGTCAGGGACAGCACTATGTTAAGCTGCTTGTTGACACTGGTAGTAAACTATACTCACAACCTTGCAAAAGTTTCCATTGTAGACCATGCAACACAATGTGCCAAGACTGCATGTTGCCAAGACCCAGAGACTTAGGTTCTTTCTACTTATCTACGTGGACTACCCATATTCCTAGACCTTCAGTGTTCAGTGGAAGCTCAGTGCAATGCTTTCCTCTCTTAAGCTGGCAGCAGAGGAATCAGAGAAGGCCTGATGTGTACTAAGGAGGGGGGATCCTCCACAGATGATTTTCTTTTTTTTCCAGAAAAAAACAGGAAGCAGGGGTTTGCAACAAACTTCACGATGTCTCTTAGAACCTGAAGGTACCAGTTTCATTGGTACAATGAAAGATTATTATTAAACAGCTATTAAACAGCTGCCAGAGTAAATATTGAAAACAGAAAGGATAACAAGCACACTCTAGGTGCAGGTTTTCACACAAGAAAGTTTAGGTTTTGGTGGTTCCTGTTGCTGCATAGTAGAATAGAGGAGATTAAAATAAGGGTAACTGCATACGGGACTAGTACCGGAGTTGAAGGTATGTAATGTAAAGAAGTATTTTTGTATAAACAGATTCTGCACTCCAGTACAGCTAGAATTGTAACCTGTGAATGATGGAAGTGTATGGAAAAATAAGTGTAACAAACACAATGAATGAGATCAGAAGAGATGCTCTTTGCTGGGAGATCTGACAGTATCAGATGGATGCCAAAACCCCCTCTAACTAAAATGACTTGTAGCAGGAAACCAAGCAGGGTGCAGGTAGCCCTGAAGATGCCCTAGCAGACTGTTCAATGAATTCTGTTACCCAGATGTTCTTCTGTAGTTCTCAAAAACCTTTAAGGCTCCTGGTCAGTAAAAAAGTTTGGAAAAGATTCAAACTTCAGCTCTGCAGTGTCAGCATATATTGCTATCTGTGCTAACTAAAGCACAGTGTTAGCAAAAAAAAGCAATTCTGTAAAACCATGCCATGAAATTCCACTTTCATTCTCTCAGTATAATTTCTAGATCAAGCACTTAATCCCCCCCTGCCCCAAACCTTCCTCTTAAAAGTGTCCCTTACTGGTGCCAATGGGGATTACACAGTTGGCCTGGGAGCTGTTTATATGCCACACTGGAGACCCAAAGTTTGATTCATGTGAAAGGAACTGAAACTTTCAAGTGAGAAATGCTCTCAAAAAGGGTGTAGATAGGGACAGAAAGATTAGTTACAAGGAGTCCTCAGATCTGGAAAGATGTTAAACCCCAGACTTGCCTTTCCAGCTGCCTGACTCAATGGCATATAGCATTTGCACCAAGGTCCAAGTGCTTGGCTCAGCTCCTTTAAACCGAACTGAAAAGCAGAGCTGGAAATCTTGCTACTTGTTTGCTGAGGGGAGCATGGTGGCATCTGTACGAAAAATTAAACATGCTTTAAAAAACAAACAACTCTAAACCTTCAAATTGCCACCAATAATGAAAGCATAACAGCACCTTGTTATGACTGATGCAAATCCTTTGACTGGGGATTTTCCTGTGCATTCATCTCACCTAATGCTGTCCTTTGCTACATGTACAATTTCCACTCACTTTCCTGTATGTGGTATTTGTATGTCATAATCACTGCTTCCCAGCTGAGTATTACATCAGAGCTAAAAGAGATATCCTGTGATGGGAGCTGAAGAACCTTGTACCACCCCAGTAGCCTCCCAAATGACAAGCAAGACCACACTGCTGATATCATGGGGACACAGGCATGTAAATAATACCACATCTTAGCACTGAGGAGTGCTAAGATGTCAGGCCACAGCTGCTGCAAGTTCACACAGCAGGGCATCTTCACATGTGTTCATAAATGTACAGCAAAGAGACATTAGAAAAAAGGGCCAGTCAGCAGTGCTGAATTGTTCGCATTATGAAACCAGGAGCCCAGACCACCAACAAAATGTGCTATTTTGGCTTATAACCAAACTGAAGTTAATGCACCTAAAAAAAACCAGGGACTAGCCAAACATAGGCAGAACCTACGTTCTCCACTGAACCTCCATCTGAGGAAAAGCTGCAGAGGCATACATAATATGACGGCAATAACAGTATTACAGTGTTTGGAGACCTGAAATATGCCCCCCCCCCCCGCCCACCTTCCCCACACATATTTTTATTGAAATAACTGTGCACTGCAAGCCTTTCCAGCAGATACCAGAGCAGTCTTCAGGCTGTTTTTATGGTCTTTACTAATCTTAATCTATTTTTTACTTTAGAGATGGCAAACAGTGTTTACCAACATATAGTTATCTCACAATTGCAGTACCTAATGAGCAAATCAATATAACTTTTAAAAACATTTTCTTGCTTGTATTACAACTAGTTAACAGAAGACTTTCGGAAGAGGTAGAAGCATGTCGAGAAATACATACAATGTAGAGGTATTTGGCAGGATTGGAAGAAGAGATCAGGTATGCAGCAACAGGGCAGGTATCCGAAGCATGAGGTTTATATTGGACCAATCATTCCCAACTTCGTTTGATTATCTCACATGGCAGAGGAATACATCCAAACAATGGACAAAGGTTTCTTAAAATTCAAAGTCTGTATGCACTTGTGTCTTATTTAGAATTTATGTAACTCAGCACAAACCCGGTTTTACTGCAAGACTTTACAATGAGTAGCTTGCAAATGGAGATGAAGTCCTCTGTCCAACAGTGTGCAGGTGTGCTGAAGCTGTGGAGACACTATTACAGTTTTTCAGTTAAGTTCCTCCCTTCATGAAAATCCAAACTGTTGTGAAATAGCACGTTGTAGCAAAGCAGAACTTAATGGCACTAATTTCTGGACTCCCACTGCACACAGAAAGTATTGGAGGCCAAGAGGTCAGTGTGGTTTGGAGAGCCAGGAATGCAGCAAAGGAAATTTCCACTGTCTTCACAAGAAGCACTGGTCCAGTGGGGGTTATATTTAATTTGATTTCCACCCATTCCAATTATACGTTCCAACCATAAGAGTCAAAAAATGCAGTGAGAGCACTTGCACACTGAATAACTTTGGAAATGGGGTTGGTTCACAGGTGAGCGGCAGCAGGCGCCAGGGCAGAACAGGCAATATTCCTGACTGGTGGCACAAGTGCTGCTGTGTGTGCAGGCTCCCCAGACTTATCTTCACGCTGCTATTTCACAGTAGCTGAGCAAAGCACCACACAAAACAGGATACAAACCATCACAAAAAGCAAGGATCTTGCCCTTCTGCACCAGGAATTACCGGGTGATCCAGACAGTCCAGCTGTGGATTTGCATGTGCAGTGTAAGATGTGCTGTAAACAGCACACTAACCGCCCCATTCTGAAAAAGCAGGCTGCTACCACACGCCAAGGACTGTGTCTTCAGATGATGTAAATCTGCTTAGCTTCATTGAGCTGTGGTAATTTACACCAGCTGAGGGATGGACCAAAGGCATTTATTAAGGCTGCAGTGTATTTAAGAACCAGCACAGATCAATAGCTCAACAAATACTCATTTCACATCACTGCTTCTCAGAAAGGAGGTCAAATGGGACCTTAAACAATTTTTTTTTTGTTCTAAAATTTCAAGTAGAGACCAGTGAAAATCAGTAATTAAATCCCTTTCGAAGGAAGCACCAGCCATGAAGAATAGGAAAAGAGCTGGTACTGCACAGAAGCAGTAGTTCAGGCTCACAGGTGGCATTAAGGGCTATGAGAGAGAGCATGACTTAACTGTTGAGCTGTCTTCTGGGAAGGCTGGTGTCTCATCAGTGAAAGAACAGTTGGAATGACTGTAAAAAATGAATAGTTCAGTATGTTGATCCCAAAATAAACCGAATTGAACTCTGGAAATTTAGAAATCAGTACCTTTCCCTGGTCATTTTTCACTTTCATGTACATGACTTCAGTAAGCTTTGTATTGGTATAGCTCTGCCTGGTTAGAAGTAAAAAATATAGCAGCATCACAGGGAAAAATATTATCATGAGATTTCCATCCTATCATGCAAACCAAAGACAATGTTAAGATTTTAATGACATTTCCAAGTGTACTGACATTGGCGAATGCAACTTGACAAACCTGACCTTGGGAAGGGATGCAGCACTTACTCGGAAGAGAGCACACGCAGCCTCCAACTGAGCAATCATGCCAGACCTTGGGATAACCTGGACCAACAGTCTGCCTCATCAGAGTGACACAAGAAGTTGTATAACCAAAAGGCCTCCCTCAGCAAAAGGAGAAGAAAGAGCATTGTATATTTGATGCTAAAAATCAGGGGTGTCAGTGATGGTAATTTTCTGCAACTATGGAGAGCATGTGAGTGATAATTTTGTCAGGCTGTATTCCAAATATGGAAAAATATTTTTCTTGCAGGTTGATTTTAAATTAATATCACCACCAGACTCTGTTTTGCTGCGTATTGGTCTGTTCTCTCCATCCTTTTCAGATAGAGCCCTGGCAGCTCTCCTTACAGCTTACAGCAGTGAGAAAAAAAGCCATAGGGCTTTAAATTTTTAAGTTGGTGTTTTGAAAATACGGCTGTATGTATCTGGCTTCTCCTGTTTTAGAGGCCCTTTCCCGGAGAGTCTTCCAACAGGAATATCATTTACATCAGCAAGGCTTTTTGGCAGTTTCTCTTTTTTTCCTTTTTATAACCATGTTGCAGTGAGACATCAGTTTAGGCAGCCAGCTCTGCAATAAAACTGACAACAGGTTTATTCTCCTGCTCCTCATGGGACCGATAGGTATTTCAGAAAAGAAAGCAGGAGGGAAGGAACAGCAACAACATGTGTGTATGATCTGCTTTGTCCCAGCATACTGCCTCTGCTGTTTTCAGAATGATTCTCACTTAGAAATCCAATGTTTTTCTTACATTTCTTTAGATATTCTATTCATTTTTGATTACTCTGCAGGGGCAGTATATCTAAGGCTGAAGTATTAGGAGGACCTATTGACTTCAAAACTGCCAGGATTTCACCTTTGGGGTCAAACTGCCCATTGCCTTGCTCTTGTCACAGCTATGGAAACGACTGTGAAACAGCGGTGCCCTGGAGCTATTCTGCCAGAGGGAATCCCTGCAAACACATTGGGAAGTTTATAACACCAGAAAGGCAAACCAAACCCCGTCTTTTCAGTTCATTGTGGAAGGGACTTTCCTCTCAGAGGATTTTATCTCAGAAGGAAATTGCTGAACCCTGGCCTGGCTGCTGTGGCTGAAGTCACTCAAGTTCAGCCTCTGCTCCCAGCCCAGGAAGGAGCAGTGGCACTGGGGGCAAAGACTTTCTTTGCACTGAGTGCACAAAGGGTCATTTTTTTGGACCACAAAAGGATAGTCTTCCTTTCCTTACCATCAGATAATGACTGAAACTCCTGAGCATGCAGTGATGGTCTGGGTTTCCACTTAACCCCATTTCATTCTCCAGCATACAATGGTGGAAAAAAACCCCAGTGAGCACAACATCCAAAAGGCTAGAAGATGAATCAGTGGTCCAGAAGGTCTCATGGGCATTAGCTTCCACGCTACCTGGAGCCAGGGTGTTAGATCTCTCTGACTGGCTGGCTGTGGTGCAGACCAGCACGCTTGGAACAGGCATGCTGATAGATCAGAAAATTCATCCTGATTTAGTGGATTTAGTCCCAACAGAACAGGAGGTAACTAAATCTTTTTTAAAAAAGATTAATCCATCTTTATTACATAGCATTTATCATCTCTAAACCCTCTCTAGACTGAGTTGAGGGGTATATGCAGGTATATGCTTATTTAGAGAAAAATGCAATTTTAATAGTAGGAACAATATTCAGGTTTGGCTAGGCCTGAAAAAAATTTATAATCTCTTTACGTGATTCCATGCATTCCAGTTGCGAATAGCCATTATGCCCAGATGGTGGCGCCTACAAATCACAGATTACTTCTACGTAGTGATTAGGTAATTCATTCCTGGCGGGATATACATTGTGGGGTTTATGGTTTAGTGCAGAGGAAAATAGAAGTCTCACTGTATTGCAGCCCCTCAAACCACCAAACCTCCCCAGCGTTGCAACCCCTACCTTCCTTTCCCCAGAAACCACTGACTGTATCACAGTGCTGTGTTAGCTTTTACAACTACCTTCCATTTAAGCAGAACAGTACCAGAATAAGATATAGAAAAAGAAAATACAAAGGGTTTAGACCAAAGATTCTTCATCCCATGGGAAATACATAATTCAAGGTATTTGTAAATGGGTTTGTGATGTGCTGAAAAGCTGAACTGGAACAAAATAAATCAACCCAAGAAACTAGACCTGAGAATCCCAATCTTTGATGGAAATCAGACAGGCAGGTTTAGATGTATTGAGGGGATTGTAGGATTAGGGTCAGCACACTGAAAGGCTGTCCTGGTCAGTGATAGCTTCACATCAAAATGAAGCTCTGAGTGTTTTGTGCCAGCCAGAGTGACTACCTTCTATTCAATTTAGTTTATGTTCATTTTTTTAGGGAGAAAAGAAAGAAATAAAGCTATTGAGAAAATAACCGTGTGGAGGGGGACAAGGGATAAGTTTAATGTATTCTAAGTGAATCACAAATGTTTCAGAGATTCAGGGTCTGCACACAGAGTAAAAATAAAAAGCTTCAGACCTTGTATCTGAAAATCAGCTCAGTAAAGCCTTTGAGTTTATATTTGCTTATCTGGAACTGGTGCTTTCAGAAACAGGGCTCTCTCTGAAGAGCATTTGAAATAAATGGGGATACCAGAACTGCCAGCATGCAACAAATTGGTGAGAAAATCCTGTTTCCTAATAAGAAAATGTTTTATTTGAATTTCGTGATCATTGCTAATAGAGGTTCAGGTTTAACACACCATTTCCTCTAAATGTATGTGTTCAGATACCTGAATGTTAATTCTGACCTTTGTCTACTAAGTACATCTAATGTTCCTCACATATTTCAGTCACCTATAACAAATTACGTATTCCTTCCAATTCTCTGTGTTCAATGTCCTTCTAAAAATGCCCAGAAGTCAAAAAAGAATAAACAGCTGAGGAGTAGGGATATGCACAACTGATTTCAGATTTGGGAGCAATCCTGCGTTGTCTAGATTGAACCTTGCAGGAGAATAAAAATACAAACCCAAACAACAGAAAAATAATAAAGTACCCCAAAACCAAACTTCATGAACTTCTTTTGGCCAGGGAGGATTTTCCTAGCAGCCCTCAGGTTTGCCATTTGCTGACCCACGGAAGTATAATCTCTTCTGGGTCTTGTTCATAGAGGGAGGGTCCCTAAATCCCCTGAATCTCAAGCACCCCAAGCCTTCAACTAGACACTTGGGAACCAATAGCTATCAATTAAGTAAAACTCCTGGCAGTAGCTGAACCTCAAACTTCTTTCACAGGTGTGCATGAACAAGAAATGGAGACACACTGATGCTACCCATGCCCCTCTTCCTCCATACTTCCTCCCACCCACTCCCCATGCACTGCTCAGCTGTCCCACATGTGAGGACACTCCCTGCCTTCCTTTGGGACCACGGTGTGAGGCCTCCCTGGGCAGCCCCATCTAAGTACAATCAGTGCTACATGAGCCCCAGCCCTCCCTGCTCTGTGCTCAACAGCACAGCATCCCCATCTGCCCTGCTGCACCAGGCCATGCTGTGCAGGAAAGACCATCCTGCTGGCACAACTGTGCCTGGTATTTGTATTACAATATTGCAAACACTTAGCTATGAGTTATAGCTCCTCAGAGACCGGCTGACTGCAGGTAACATGCATAAAGTAAAGCAAATTCACACGTTCTTGTCCTCAGATGATTTCCAGCCTGAATTCTAACGAATCTAATTTCTTTCTCAGCACAGCCGGTATCTGTTAGAGTTTCACCCGGGCTGGGCAGCAAGAGCAAGTATTTTCCAGCTTTGCTAGTTGGGTTGCAAATAGCATTTGGCTGATTATGATTTTGGTTTCAAGATATGGAGAATTTTCTTCATATGCCTGAAATCAAGATTCTCAGAATATATAAAGACAATTGCTGAGTTTATGCAGTCATAAACAAGGGAGTGCAAATAGATTCATCAGGAGTGACAAAGCCAGGAGTATTTCCAGCTATCCTGTGTGACATTTCATTAAGTATTACAGACAACTTTGGTTAGACAAACCCTGTGCTTAAAGATTAACATATTTTTCTCCTAACAGTGACAAATGTCGTACATACACCCTCATCTGTCTTGCAGAAGAGTCGATACATGTGCAGTGAGGGCTATGACTGTCAGTCATTTTGGATGGGGTTCACATTTGCTAACTTACCACCTGCAAACTGAGGACCTACAATTACCAAGCAGGCTCTCCTAACTCATGTTTTTCTAGGGCCACTAAATGTGCCACAAGCATCACTGTTGACGATTTAAAGATAAAAACAAATAGCCATAAGGAATGTACAGTTTAAAGCCACAATCCTATAAATGCCCTAGTGTGAATTTCTTTTACCAACACAGACAGCAGATCTATTAAATAAGTTATTTTCTCCTCTTAAATGCTGAGAATAGTTGATTCCCCAAATTTAATCTTTGACTTATTTAAGATTTTTTTCTCTTTCCATCTAAGCTTTGGGGATGCACATTTTTGAAGAAAGAAATAGGCTCTTTCAGCAACTAGAAATATTACTATTTGGGTTTAAAATTAATTCTGAAAGACAAATTTAACCAAAATGACTTAAGAGGTAGAATCAGAGCTCTGTTTGAAAGGGTATGAAGAACATGTGAAGCTGTGCTAAAGACTGCCTTTCATCAGCTCAGTGCGGATCCAAATTCCCTGGGCACTCCA